GGACTACAGCCACAGGTTCTCACCAAAACCAGCTGACAAACCGCCGTGGTTACCATGGCTACGCAGGGAGATGCAGCACCGTCTGAAACAGGACTTTCTCATTTTGCTGGTATGTCACAGGAAATAGATCTTAGTTTAGATTAGTCGATTTCCACAGTGATGGACCTTTGTTAAATCTATATATACTTTAAATATTTCATCACTCATTCAGGGTCCTTTTTGTGTTATTTTGACAGTCTGGAGAGTTTCTCACTGGACTTTTGGGTCAATAAACATAATCTGATGTCTTTTTTTGGGGGGGGGGGCGGGGGGGGTTGCATCTTTTTATCGACACTCGGGGTTTCTTACCGTTTAATGCCAAATGGATCCAATCTGATAGGTAGATTTATGAGACTTACGGCAGTTTTTAGTAAAAACCCTTTCTTTTATAGTATCAAGTCCCTTTTTTGCCATTTATGGTAAAATGTTTAGAACATTTTTATACAATTAAAAAATGTAAATTAGTTTATTTGGTCTAAATTTTCTCAAGAGTCACAGAAGGACTTTAGATAAAGAAAAATACGTTTTTTAGATGTATTTTTGGTTCGACCCCACAGACACGTAGTAACTTTAAGGATCAAAGGATTTGATTGGTAATTTAAGGAGAAATTGCACAGAAATGGGGCTTTCAAGTGGTCAGACTTTAGGAATAAAGACACCGAAAGCTTTTTTTTCCTTTATCATCACTGTGCATCAACATGAACTGAGAATAATCCGTCTGCTCTTTAATCCGAACTGAGTAATTGGGATGCCTTTGGCTCAGAGAGTCACAAAAACAGCACATTATCGTTCAGAAATGCGGCGGCGAAATAGGAAAACAGAAAACAAACACAATTCAGAGAACACATACTGAACACTTTTTCTTTTTTTTTATAGGAACAACAAAAAAATAAAAAGCTCTTCACTTTTTTCCCGGATGCCGACATGGCGCTTTGATGTCCAGGCCCAACAAACATCCATCTGAAACCGTGGAAACAGAACAAGTACGAGGAAAGCCAAAGTGAAAGCTGCAAAGAGGTGAGGAACTGCTCCTTTAGACTGCCGGTGGGCAAAAAGAACTTAAAAAAAAAAAAAAAAAAAACTCGGGGCTGCCATTTCTTTCAAACAGAAATGAAAGATTTTAGAAAAAAAATCTAAACAATATTAAAAAAAAAATAGATATATATATTTATATATAGATAATTTGCAAAAAAAATACTAGTTTTTGTTCAAATATAAAAACATACAAGGAAATACCAGCCACCAAAGCGACACCTAGAGTTAAGCTCACCGATGGAGAACGTAAAGAGGCTACCTTACACACAGGTAATGGGAAATATTTAATGATACATGAACATCTGTCCAAACATGTCTAAAAGGCTGTACAAATTTACACAACCCATCTCAGTAGAACTACATGAAAAATTATGGTTCATCTTAAAAGCTTTTACCTCAAAACAACTGAATATTTCAGCTAAAGCCGAGCTCCTGGGTCTGAGTGTTGAAGACTACAGAAGGCAAAACCACGACAGTCTACTTTCGCCTCGTTTGGCTGAACGTCGCCGTCCCCTTAAAAAGACCAGGAAAAGACCGGGAAAATGTCCGGGTCCCCCCCCCCCCCCCGTGGCTCAGACCTGCTGTTTTCCCAGCTGGGCGCCGTCTCGGCCTCCTCTCGCCGCCGACGGGACAAACTTTGGGATGATGATGGGCAGAGCGTCTCTCCCTCTGGCGGCCGGCCGCCCGGCGCCATCCGAGGCTCCGAAGCCGTTTTCCACGTGAGCCCCTTCCTCCTCCTCCTCCTCCTCCTCGTCATCATCGTCCTCGTCCTCGTCCTCCGACAGGTCGTCCGAGTCGGAGCCGGTTTTGGCGCCCGGCCCCGGCTCCGTGCTCCCCGCGGCCCCGGCGGGCGGCTGGTTGCCGTGGAGACGGGCCTGGCCCGCCGGCGCCGGGGGGGGGGCGCTCGTCCGGGTCGCTGTCGGAGTCGACGGCGATGGGCTCGGACAGGTCCAGAGGCCTCTTCTGTGGTAAGGTGCTGGGGATTGTCTTGGTTTGGTCCGTGGCGTTGCCGGGGGCGCCCGGCGGCGTGCCCCTCCTCCTCGGCGGCGCCACGCCCCCGTTGAGCGCCGCCAGCTCCCGGTGTCTCTGGAGCGCCCGCTGGGACACGCCCCTGCAGGCCCGGGAGGTGCGGCGCCGGCCGCCCCGGTAGGCTCCGCCCCCCCCCAGCGCCAGCTGGTGGCTGAGCGTGGCGAGCTCCTCCATGCTGAAGCCCAGCAGCACGCTGGCCCGCTGGCGCTCGCACTCCTGCACGCACCGCCGCCGGCTGCTGACGAAGTGGCCGGAGATGTCCGACTTCCACAGCCACAGGCTGGCCGACAGCTTGTCCACCTCGCGCGGGCTGGGGTACGGCGCCCGGTTGAAGTAGCGCGTCAGGAAGGCCTTGCGGGCCTCGTAGGGCTGGCTCTCCTGGCCCTTGGGGTCCAGCGCCAGGACCACCGGGTCCTCGGGGTTCTCCACGAAGGTGAAGGGGCCGCTGGAGTCCCGCGGGTGGGCCCGCTCCCCCGGGGGGGCCCCGCCTCCGGCGCTTGGGGGCGCCGCCGTCGGGGTTGTCGGGGCCGGCCCGCTTGAGGGCGGCGCCCGGCGCCGGGCCGGTCCGGGAGGAGGCGGGCCGGCAGTCCTGGCCGTTGGGGGACTTGCCCACGCCCCGGCAGTGCACCAGGTGCAGCGTGATGGTGGAGGCGGTCATGTTGCTGGTGTACACGCCCAGGCAGTGGATGCACTTGTAGGTGAGCTTCTTCTCCACCGGATGGACGGTCTGGATCACCTGGTGGCGCTCTCGGAGGTGGTGGGCCAGCGAGTCCGAGATGGGGCCCTTCAGGATGGAGAAGCAGAGCGGACAGAGGGTTTTGCCCACGTCCCTCTTGTAGGGAACGGACGCCTGGGGGGCGTTCTTGGCCGGGGGGGCGTCCGGGGAACCCGAGTGCGTCTTGGGGGGGTGCTGAGGCATCAGCCTCTTGCTGGATAACAGGGAGGAAGACAGCGCCGACGCCATGGAGGGGGCGTTCTGGGCGTGGAAGGCCAGCGACTCCTCGGGGGCGTCCCTCATGTTGTAGGTGGTGACGATCAGCTGGACGTTCTTGGGGTTGCCCTGCTGCAGGGTGAGGTCAAAGGTCAGGGGAGAGTCCGTGCGGGGCCCCACCTTCTCGTCGGGGTGCGACAGCCGCATGTGGGCCACCATCTTTTCCACGTCATTGAAGGTGGCGCGGCAGTGCGGGCAGGACAGGCCGTGGATCAGCATGTGGTTGAGCAGCGTGTCGCTGGGCAGGTAGCGGTTGCAGTACAGACACTTGCTGGTGAAGTTGTGGATCTTCATGATGTAGTTGGCCACGGCCGGCACCTTCTCCGCCTTGTGCTCCTTCTCGAAGTGGGCGCTGTACACGTTCTCGGGGAAGAGCTCGTTGCAGATGGTGCAGATCTTCCACTTCTGGGTGTAGGACGTGCCCAGGACGGAGGAGCCGCCCTTCTTGGCCGTGACGGACGCCACGGTGGTGGCGGCCGCCTGGACCCGGGAGCCCAGGGGGTTGGCCTTGAGGGAGGAGGAGGAGGCCCCGGCCACCAGGGGCCCGCGCAGGCTGCCGCCGGGCACCAGCTGCTTGGCTGCGTGGGACTGCTGGGGCACGGACACCTGGGCGTTCCCGGGCATGCTGAGCCTGCCCTGCGGGCCGCCGGCGGAGAACGGCGGGCCGGCGCCGGCCTTCAGCGCTATGGCGTCGTGCTTGAGCCCGGAGAGCAGGCCGTGGGAGGAGAAGCCCGCCTTCGCGGCGATGACGGCCCGGCCGAGCTGCTGCGAGGCCGGAGACCTGGTGGTGGCCATCACGGCCCCTTTGGGGCCCATCCCGATGATGGTCTTGTCTCCCTGCGCTTTGGGGGGGAACATGATGACGGGCTTGGGCCGGGGCACGATCACGCTGGTGTGGCCGATCATGGCGGTGACCTGGTAGCCGATCCTCTCGTGGTCCTCGATGACGTGCTGGACCAGGGCCTCGTAGGTCCGGGGGACGAACAGACACTTCTTGCAGTGGATCTGGTTGCTGCCGGCGCCGCCGTCCGTCTTCCCGCCGTTGTGAGCGTTGCTCTTGTCCCCGGGCTTCACGATGTAGGGGTGGGCCACCTGCTGGAAGTGTTCCCGGTAGATGTGCTTGCGCACCACGTTGTACAGAGGGTCCCTGTAGGTGCACTTCTTGCAGTAGTACACCGCCTGCTCCACGCTGTCCCCGGCCCGCTTGAGCAGCCCGTCCTTGGCCAGGACGCCGCCGGCCCCCGCCGCCACGCCGGCGGGGCCCTGCCGCCCGCTGTTGGCCGGCATGTGGAACAGCTTGATGTGCGTCTCCAGCGTCTTTTTGTTGCCATTGAAAGTGCAGTAGGGGCAGTTGAGCAGGATGTTGTTCTCAAAGTCCTCGCTGTGGACGTTGCGGAAGTGGCTCTTGTATGCCGAGAAGTACTTGGAGGAAAAGAGGCAGCCCGAGCAGCAGAAAGGCTTTGATCTGTAGTCCTGGAGACGGAGGAAAACATGCCTTGAGAAACTCGGTTTCCAGAGACAATGCAAAAAACTTGATTCTGTGAGCAGCACTTCCAATCACACTTAAAGTCGTGTGTGTGTGTGTGTGTGTGTGTGTGTGTGTAACACCAACCTGGACTTTGGTGTGCGATGGCTCCCACATGCAGACATCTTCCCAGCTTGTGTGCTTGATATACACCTCTGGAGGAGTGAAGTCTTTAAAGTCCTAAAAAGCAAAGAGTTTAAGATTAGGACAGGTTGGATCAAACAAATGTCCAAGTTAACTACAATTAACCCCCCCGTGGTGCTCCGTTTCTGTGGGTGGATTTAATGTACCAAACGGACTCAGACCCATTTAAAACAACAGTGCCCGGCTTGATAATACATTAAAAATTCACTGAGTCTGGATAAAGGAGGTGATATCACCTCAAATAATAAGCCCATCTAACGCTGCGTGTTAGACGCTGAAATATGGATTTTTATTCATAGTGTGGCCACACTGCGCAGCGTCCGGTCGTCCGTGGTACACATCTGCCCAATGTCAGAGCAGACAAACTCACAGTGGATTTCTGCTGTGCAGAATCGCTTTTTAAAGCAAATGAGTCATGTCTTTTGAAGCTCTTTACAAAATGTAAAAACTCTTCCCTGTGTGGGGCTTGGTTTATGAAATCCAGAGAACTTGACGATAAATTATGGAAAGTCTGCGCTTTTAAGAGAGAGGCGCATCCTTCCCCTACGGTAAGCGGGTCACAATGAGCAGAAGCGCCTCGGTGTGGTATCCACACATCTCCTAAAGCTTGCTTTACTATGCATTTCAAAAACAAAAAGATGCTTTCAGTGCAAATATAAAGTCACGTCTGCCCATCTAGAAATCTCTAGGACCTTTCTAAAAATAAAAAATAAAAAGTCCAACCGTGAAGTCAAGGGTAGAAACTGAGCGCTCACCTCTAAGTGATCTCTGCAGAACTCCAGGCCGATGTCTCCCAGGACCTTCTTGACATTTTTCCTTGCTTTCCGTAGGCTGCTGAGGTTATTGACGGGGAGCTGGAACATTCTGGCTGCCTAAAAAAAGAGATGAAAACAGACCCGTACAGCAGGCTATCAGCAAGCATGTTCTGGAGTTTAGACGAGCACCTGGAAAGTGAAGGGGCCGAGTAAGGACACTCAACGGTTTTTTACAACCTTTCTACGTCTTACATCTTAAAGCCGTGCGCACGTACCGGGCAAACGAACGGCCTCTTTAAAGTCAGTAACGTTTACTTTGATTCGTTTAGACTAAGTGCACATTTCCACATCTCGAACATGGTTCTGCTGAACACAACCAGAGACGAAGCGTTTGGGTTGATATAGAAAAACTATATTCAGGACTAAAACTAAATCAATCAAACCCGGAAACAAGAAGACATCCTGCTTTCATTCTTTCCGTTCTTTTAAAAAGAACCACCGAAGAAGACACAGAACAATAAGCTGGGAGTCCGTCTACAAAAAGTATCGACATCCTGACCCGATCAAAAGAGGACGGCACGAGCATGAAGTAGCTTCCACACGCCTGATTCATATCGAGAAGAGCTTCAGAAAATATCTGTTGCTTTGGAGACACTCCTGTATGGAGAGTAAACCAACTTTGTTGCTGATTTTTTCACTAAGAGTTTCTGAGGTGCAGTTTGTTGCATCTGAGATGCTTCGTTCCACACGTTTCATTCCCTCTGCTTTTGTTGGACAAATTTAAAGACATAAGCGTGTAGAGAAGTTTCAGCAAACTGGGCAGCAAATGTTAGTCAATCTGAAACAATCGATAATGATTTACAGAGACCAAATACAAAGCTCAAGTTCTAGTGGTTGTCAACTGGCTATCCGATATCCAATCACAAGAGCTCGCTCATTTAAAAGCTCTTTTTTTTTTTTCAACCATCTGCATCTTCCATCCGGTTCCTCTCATAAGAGCATGTGTGCTAATCAGAGGTTGGTGATGAGCGCGAGCCCTGTGAGGCCCCACAGGTCTGATCAGGGTGTCAGCAGCCTCTCACAGTTAATATCTGCAGCATCCCATCAGGGCCTCTTGCACACATTTCTCAGCCACCTCTCAAGTAATACTTTCTTAAGGTCACCCGGTGTAGCAGCTAATGCTGCAGTTAGTCTTTCTCTGAGTTCTCAAACGACCAGTAAGCGAGTGCGGTGTTGATACCGACACAAAGGCCTCAGACCCAAACGTCCAGCTGTGACCGGACGTGTCTGAAACCTCTGGCCGCGGAGCCTGATGGTCCGACCGTCCTCCAAACAATCCGTCCACGTCTTACAGGAGCCTCCTGATGCATTTAATTGGCTCGGACCGCTGCAGCCCGACTGGTGGCTGCGGTTGGCAGGTAATAGTGCGTGTAAAAATAAACGTTTGTTTACAAGAGATCTCAGCTGGTCGTGTTTTCAGCAGAAGAGCCGCACGTGATTGGTTGCTTATGACAACCAGGGTTCGCTTTACCGGCACCCTCCTGCCACAAAACGCAAACAAAGAATAAATTGCGTGCCGAATGATGTGATAGTGTAAACCAACAGGAACTTCATTTAGCGGGAGCAAACCTCTTTTGGGGAAGGGAGACAAAACCGGACTGGAAGAGGCCTGCAGCCGAACCGAGGCCTTCCTGCTAATCACGTTGCGGCCATTATAAGCTGCTTTTTCAGTGATGGGTTGAAGAGCCAATGGGTGAACCTGTTCTAAAACACAGCTCCATGTGGGAAGGTCAAAGGTCACCGATGTACAATGACATGAAGCGGGGTCAGCAGTAACTGACGCTTCCTGTGACGCCTTGTTTTCAGCGTTGAAAGTGGGTGAGAGACACACGCCACTGCCCACTTCCCACCCGGTGCCTCTTTTTCCTGCTTCCTTCCCTAACTTGTAGATGGCGCTGAGGAGGACTTCCATTATGCAACCCTCCCCACACTCAGCCTGCCCCCTTTTCTCCATGCCTCGCAATACCATCACAGAATGGCGCCTCCTATTGAGTAAGCAGCAGCCCCTACAATATGTCTGCAGTGGAGGGGGATGGGAGGGAGGGAGGGAGGGAGGAGAGGAGAGGAGAGGAGAGAGGGAGGGAGAGGAGAGGAGGGAGGGGGGGGAGTGATGTTGGAAGGGAGGAAGAGGAGGGACAGAAGGAGCAACAGAGAACAGGGAAGGGGGAGGGGGAGGGTGAGTGTGGAGAGGATGAGGTGGAGGGGGTTAGGGTGAGGGAGCCGAGAGGAAGAGGAGGGGGAGTAACCGGGCAAGTGCGAGGGGAGAGGAGAGGAAAGGGGAGAGGACAGAGTGAGCGACGGAAGTGAAGGGGGGGAGGGGGGGGGGGGAGAGGCAGGGGGGTCGGACAGCCGGGTTTAGTGAAGAGGGGAAGGGAGTGGGTGAGGAGGGCGGGAGGGAGGGAGAGAGAGAAAATGGAAAAGGGTGAGAGAAAGAGGGGGCGATGGATAAGAGGGGAGGGGAGAGAAGAAGAAAAAAAAGCCAAGGAGAGGCTGAGTAGGAGGGAAGGGAGGGAGAGAAGGAAGAGGAGAGAGAGGAAACGTAAGAGGAGGCTGCTCTGCTCTGCTGAGGGCTGCTGGCAGAAAGCAGGTTTCTCTTCTACAGTGGTGCAAAATCGAGAGGCCTCCGAACCTTCAGACACAGATTTCCTCACGCTCCTTCCACCAAAAGCAGCGATCTGACTGCTCCTGTTTGCGCTTCCTCACCGTGCAAATGTTTCCTAAGGGGGAGAGGCTTCTGGTGACATCCACATCCACTGCAAGAGCAGAAAAAGTTACAGGCGCTTTAGAAAAACAGAAGAACCTGTTCCACCACCGATAACACACCTGTCCGGCGTCCACAGCCCTAAAGGTGAGCGGATGAGAAAGGACAACCTCCCACTCCTCCCCCAAAACCCAACCCCACCTATGAACGCATCAAAACACATGTCACCTGAACGGGGACTCCATAACAGTTCTCAAAATAAAACTATGTTTTCACTCAGACAGCTCCCCTCTTATTGGTTCCAGATTTACCAAAATGAAAACACTAACTATCAAGACCCGTGTTACCACTCGGGGGAAGTGGGTGTCAGACCATGGAGTCGATGTGGGTGCATTTAATCGCCGAGCAACATCTGGCAGGATCCAGATCGATGGCTTTGGCAGAGAGCAGCTGCCACTGACAAAGAACAGGCAAGAGACACCGCGCTCAGTTAGCATGCTAAGCTAGCCCACTCGCACCAACAACACGGGTCTGAAAACTAACGCTCCCACCTTTGTTCTTACTGCCTCCGAAAAGAATAAACAACAATAATAATAACGGAACAATAAATTCAGATAACCGAAACAAGCCACTGGGTGTTTTAAGTTGTGCTAACGCCCCCTTGTCCAGAAATATTAACCGTTATCAACAGCCGGGTTACCTTAGCCGGGGCTCGCGCCTCCCATCACATCACCGCAGGTAACAACGGTTAACGTCCAAACCAAACAACACAACACCGGGGGGGGGTTACTCTAAAACACGACATCCGCCTTTACCTGCTTTCACATCCAGCGCTCCCGTCCGAGGGAGACGTCTCCTCTCGGGATGGCTGAGGGGGACGTGTGGACCCTCTCACCCGCTCAGGTGCCCCGCGAACCGGGGGCGAGTGAAGCCAAACGGTCGGTCTGCCCTCCGAAACCCCCCCGGAACGTCCCTCACCGACAGGGGCTATCCTCTTCCCTCCAGTCGGCGAACGGGAACAGAGCGTCCGAGATTCATCAAATTAAAACCCTGGTTCCCGTCAGAGTGGAGGGTGGACACATGTTCATCTGGCGGGGAACGAGTACCGAAAAACCTACTGTCGGAGACAAATTTACCTTAACTCTGGCTGTAATTCCTGGTAACGGATTTCGGTTTGCCCATTCCCCTCTGACAGACAATACACATCCAGCCTGGAAACTGCCCTATCCAAAATGGCGCAAATAAAAGGGGCGGAAGTGACATCTACCTTATTAGCATAAATAATCTCATTGTGAGCTCCCCGTAAACCCGCCTCGTTAAAACTCTTGATTGGTTTGTCAATCAGTTCGGCCAATTAAGTAAATGTCTGTTGAAAGGAGGCATCTGTCGTCTCTCAAAATGGTCGGTGGGCTTTGTTTGGCGTCTCAGAATCTGTGGGGTAAACAACCCGGCGGAGTAATTACAGCAACCGTCCGACAGCGGGCGTCCTACTGTGGTGGGCTTTTTGGACTTAACGCGCATGCGCAGTGCGGCTACATCTGGCGTCTCCCCCGCGGAGTCGGATGCACACAGTGCCTCAGCACTCCGCTGGCGGCAAAACCGACGCCAGGTGGCGCCGTGGTACGCGTTGAGGTTAACGGCCCAACTGTGCCAAAGTGACCGGAACTACTTTCTTCTCACAATGCCGGGAAACGAACGTGGTTTTTCTATGGGAAAAGTTAGGCCTCCCTTTGAGCCTCCCACTTTCCCCTCATGTCCACCTCAGTGCCATGAGGTCTGGGATCCCAGCAGCTTCTTTACAACTTACACTGCCTTTCTTATCATATTTGATATAATCTTTATCAAGTTATGTCTTGGATTTCTGGTAATTTGTGTGGAGCAGGTTGTCCCATAAGCGTGATTGGGAGTATAAGAAGAGAACCTGGTTAGTCTTTGGCATAATAGAGGTAATAGACTGTTACTACACCTATCTTGCTGAGGACCCACCAAATCTGGTTAAAAGCTGTCAAATTATGAGAGCGTAAACAAGCCCGTTGTATTTGTGTTCACTTTCTTTTTGGTCATGGATAAGAGAAAGGAAACGACAAAACAGAAACAGCCTTACAAACTGTTTATTATATATAAATGACAACAAGCCGCGCTTGAAGGTGAATTTACACCCATCTGAAAACTTTGTTAAAACAAAGTAAGATGTCTGGACTGGGAATGATAACTGGACTTGGGGATTAACCAGGATATCCGGAATGTTAAGCACCGAGTTGATTCAGTATTCTGAGAAGCTAATGAGTGTGAAGCATTTTACATAATTTTACTTCTAACGGGGACAGTTGCTTTCATCGTCATTTGTTGTTTGTGGTGTAGCTTCTGTGTCGGCGACAGACACGCAAAGCCTCACAAAACCTCCAGAAAACGGTGGGATTTCCAGCTGGAGAACGTTGTCGATCACGTTGTAGCGAACAATGTGAGCAGTCCTTTCACAAATGACACAATCTCATTCCCCCCCAGCTTGGATTCTCCATAAACTCGATCCACAAATGAAATGGGTACCTGTGATGTGTAGGAAGAGAAAGGGTGGAAAACACAAGACAAGTTAAAAGAATAACAATGAAAAATCAACAATTTTCATCACATGAACATTTGTGTTAGGTGTTCGTGTGTGTAAGTCTAAGTGATGTCTTAATGTCTTCTTAGAGCTGTGATGCCAAATAAACACTGAAACTACTTTTTACATTTCTCATTGAGGTTTAAAGAAATCTATGGAGTCTATTTATCCAATTATTCCAAGTATACCAGATGTGTGTATTGTATTGTATTGGTCTTAAAGGCCGATCCTGTCTAACGTGGGGAAAAAAAACTATAAAGCTTCATTTTTAAGGCCAATTACCATCAGCTGTGAATTCTGACTATGAACAGATTCACTTAATATGAAAAGAGGGCAAATTAAAACACCCGACTGAAAGAATAAAAAAGAAAAAAAAAGGAGTATGAGCTCACCTCTCCAATGGTGTAGTTGAGCTGTCTGGCTCGGACGATCATCTCCATCTGAAAAACGTACCCTTTGGAAACACATCGCTCCATGAGACTCTCCAAAACCTTTTTTTTGTACAACCTAAGATGAGTAAAACACAGAAAACCACATGAATGTAGAGTTTAAACGTCAGCCGAACGTAAACCCCCGATTTCTGCACCGCTTACCTGAAGCTGCCGGTGAGATCCGAGGCCCCAGGCCTCAGTAACACTTGAGTCAAAAAGTTAGCCCCACGGCTGAAAATATCAGGAGGCAAAGAGGAAATGTAAAACTAAGCTACTTAGCAACGAGGGAAATTGTTTTTTGTTTGTTTTTTAAACAAGCATCCACTGCCACCTGATGAGTTTCCTGCGCAGGTCCCAGCCGTAAACGCCTCCGTTACCCTGGTAACGAGTTCCAGACACAAGGTCGTAATTACCCTCCTTCTGCTTTCTGGGAATTAAGAACAGAATAAATAAATACCTCAATTTCCGCTTGTTGCACTGGAATAAAATATATAATCTGTCAATCCTGAAATGTTTCACTGTGCACTCCCAACAAAAGGACAAATAGTTAAAAGTAAAAATAAGGATTTTATGAGACACTTACTCTATAAATTCAGGGATAAACTTGGGCTGAAATGAAAAATAATAACACAAAGTAATTAAATATTAAAATGTACAAGAGAAAATATGTTATGTATAGTTTATTTAGAAAGGATTGTCAAAAACAGACACATAATAAAAATATAATTAATTTTTGGGGTCTTCAGAGTGTTTTTTAAGACAAAAATACATCTAAATGTTCACATTTAAAAGTTTTCCACATCATACACATCATTACATACTTAACAGACATCCATGTTCCATATCAGCACCTCATGTTTCTGACATATCAGCTCTTTAGACAAAATGAGACAAGCACAACTCACGTGATGCGACAGATCTGCATCCATTATGATGATGAAGTTTCCAGTTGCATGTTTCATGCCGTGGATGTAGGCGGTGCCTTTAACGGGAAGCAAGAACACAACATTACCTGGTGGAGGTCATCCCGCTAATCCACTCAATTACCCTGTGTCCAACTTACCAAGGCCTAATTTTTTTGCCCGTGGTCGTAGAAGCTGAAAAAAAAATATTTGGGGATTATGTAATATGGTATTCTATGGTTTCACTAAGTTTAAGAAATACCAACCATCCGCGGTAGATGCAAGCTTTTAGCCATCCCAATTTTCTTTTCAAATTTACAGGAAAATGAGAAGGCGGCTGTGGGAGTTATTCAAATATGTGCTAATATAAAAGGTTAAAACAGCTTTTTTGAATGATGCCAACAAAAGTCAGCTGGTCTTATTTTGTCATCTACTTCTTTGGTTTCTTAAAATGTGTTAAGGACACACTGTACATGAAGCTAAGCTATGTCATGTTTTCAGCTAATTGCTCTTTTAAATCACCTTGATACCCGAAAAAACTGTTTTCTGTCTGGAAATAATGTCTTTGTGACAATATGTGTCAACATAAAATGGTTTGTCACATGAGTTAAGTCTCTTTTTTATGTTTTAATCAAGATTAAGATTTAGTAGTACCCAATGCGACTTTGCTTGGAATGCAAAAAAAAAGGTATAGAAAAATGTATGGATCGATGTTTAGAAGCTTAAACAAACAAAAATGCACTCCTCTGAAAATGCTGCTGAAATTGCTAGAATAATCCAAGATGAGCATATATTTTACAAAAGGTCTGGGAAACTAAGTTGCTCAGGATAACTTTGAAAGTTGACAAAAAGGTCTGATTGTTGAGAAGAAACAAAGAAAATAGGTGCATTGTTATGTAGTATAACTGAAATTAAATTAATGGCTAACTGTATGACACAGATTTTACTAATACAGTTGATATTGTGTATAATCTTAATGCATCCTTGAAATATTCTGTGCTACTGGAAAACGATATATTCATTAGAAATTATTTCTGACTTACTATTTTGTCCTCTCCATAAATTTTCTGTAATTGCTCTGCGACCTCAAGTGTCCCATCTGGGCTCCCATCGTCTATGACGATTATCTCGTAGTTATAGCCACTGCAAATAAAACAGAAAAAGGAGCCTTTGTTAAGACTAATTTTGCAATGTCACACCAAAGAGGTACGAGGAAATGCCAAACCGGTTTCAAAACTATGTTTAACCTAAAAAAGGGGGAATTTTGTATGTTAAAAACATGCAACCGACACCTGCTAGCATAACTGACAGCTCATCACTAACAGACGTTAAAGTTAGCTTGTAGCAGCCCAGCAGCTTTGCTAGCTGCCAGAAACTTACCTTTCCCCGAAATATTTAACCAAAAGCCACACAATCAGAGGGAGGTTTTCTCTTTCGTTGTAGGTTGGTAACAGTATTGAGTATTTGTCCCCATTGTCTCGGTTTGGCTGACTTTTTCGGCTTGCCATGGCGACGGGAAGCAAACGTTATCACGGAGCCCAAAGCTATATTGAGTGGGCCACGATTTCCGGTTTGATCTTTTCAAAACAATTCACGACGGTGAAACCATGCATTCAAAATTTCTTCCAATACATTGTTAAACAAAGCTATTAGATATTAAACAAAAGCCACTGAAGAGGCAATAGTCCCTTTCGTAATCATCATCAAAAACAACACTCATTCGTGTATTACTATCTACTATCATAAACATCATTTGACACTATCTGTAAAATATGGCTCTTGGATACTATCAAAGATATCCAATGAACAGCTTTACTAAAAAGATAGGTCTTAAATTTTCTTTTAAAATTTTTAACAATTCCAGCTGCCCTCAGGACTTGAGGGAAGCCATGAAATGAAAAGATCCTTCTCCATATGTTTCAGTCTCCACCCCAGGAAAACATTTTGTTTGTTTGGTCAACATTTTGAAGCCGATTATCAGAACATGACTATCAAGATCATTTAAGAGGTTTGCACAGAGCTCCAATTTCAGGCTGCTGCTATGTCAGAACTATGCCAGTTGATTTGGAAAGCACCTGTATTTAAAAGTGCTTTAAACAGACGGGGTTTCTCATTACTGTCCTAAAAAGTTCAGTACATCCGTTTTTAAGAAACAATGTTTTAGTTACTGACATAAATGGGATTGTCAAGCAAATTACCAAACACAACCTTTTTTGGATCCAATAATAATAAATCAAATTTGGTCAAAGAGCAGAAATAACGACACCTCTTAAGGTAAGTTTAAACAGTCTCACAGGTTGGTGGGAACTATTTTTATAATCTTGATGAAAAAAACGTGTTAAATCAACTCTCTTCCAAATGTGGTTCCTCATAACAACCAGAATTCCCTGACATGTACAAAGCTTTACATCACAAAGGCTGCTCATTCCTTAAAAAAAGAAAATCCACAACACTTGAAAACACATGTGATTTTAATAAAAAAAGAAACTATTCTGAAATAATAGGGCATAAAAATAGAGCATCTAAAATTCTCTCTCATTCAAACATGTAATGTTTTCCACCCACACACCCCAAGAAATCTGAAAATGTAAACATGAACTGCCTTACTTTATAAAATCTACATGGATAAAGAGATAACAGAAATACAATAAACATGTACAAATTCTACATATAGCAGACGTTCTCACAGTATCATTCAAGCCACTGAAGAAAAAAAGCTTTCATATCAGGGATTATTTTTCATTAACTCTGAGGCAGTTGAGGTTAGAATACAAATATATAAAGATCATAAATGGCTAAACAGTTTGAATCGATACAGTGCATAAGAAATAGTAACAAAAAAGTCTCAGTGCGAATATGTTGTGTACGACTTAACTGATCCCACTGGGAAAAACCTTTCTCACCCATCCTCAAACAATTTAGTCTGTATCTTTTAAGAGTGACGGTCACAAGAAGAATGGAACAGTTCTTGTGTCTTTTCATGCTCCCGCGTGCTGTAAAAGGAGAGGCTTCTGCGTCATTCCTCATGTCTAGTTTCTTCTGGGATGCCCTTCCTGGTTTTCCTCCTCCAGAGGAGGCGGGCGCCGTCCTCACAGATGTTCGGCCGCGTCCGGCTGCTGGGCCTCTGAATGTGGACTCAGGGCTGGTAGGCGTAATTAGCCTCATCTAAATGAAGAATACACACAAGCCTCAATACCAATAAATGGAAATTATCAATGTGTTTGGCGGAATAAGTCCGTTTGCCATCTGGAATAAAATTTAGAAATATTAAGTCTAAAGAAAAAACAAAGACATTTTCTCATTAGTTGGGATGTGTTGCTCCACAAGAGGAATACACTTAATGACCCATGGATCCCATATGGCTAATAACTGGACCCAAACACACATTGGAGGCCCTGAAAGGTACACTTATGTTCCTAAATACTAAACAATAAATCACAAGGGTACGGCAGCAGGACCTTTGAAGGCTCCACTCTTGTGAATCTGTTGTAATGAGCTTACGTGTAATAGATTGTATTGAATTGAATATACTTTATTGAACCGTTCTATCAGTCAGAGGGGGTCACTTCTGGAACAGCCTCCCAACAAACATCAGGGAAGGTCCCACTTTTTACACATTTAAAAAGCACCTTAAACTGTTTCTCAAAAGTTCCCAGTCATGCAATCACCAATTCTAATTTTGTAATGTCATTGTCTGAACGTGTGTCTCTCTGTTTTAACTGATATTGTACTATGTGATTTTGTGTTGTTTTGTCTTCCTGCCTCAGGACCACAGATGCGAATTAGCAACTATGCTAGAATCTGGCTCATTTACAATCTGTATGATATTGTTCATTAATGTGCACTGTCCTGATTTAATAAATAAATAAATAAATAAATCTCCAGGGAGAAATTGACTTCCAGTACAGCCCGTATGACTTAATATGACCGAAGATTCCTATTTCCTCACACCGTTTCTGAAATGAAATAACTGAATAAGTACATTATGTCCAGCCCCCTTACGATCCTGTCCTCAGCCCTGAGTGTTTTTATTCCCCGGTCACCAGGGAATATATATATTTATTAATATATATATATGATATATTTCATAGGCTGGTCACCAGAGGCCTCCCCACCGGCTCACCGGTTTGCTGAGGAACGTTTTGGCAGCCTCCACTGCTGTCGCACACGCCCGGTGGGCCGATCTCGCCCGGCTGGCCCGGAGGTCCGGGGATCCCCGGTGGGCCCGGTCTGCCCTCGTCTCCTTTGGGGCCTGGGTCTCCCAGCTTGGACTCGCCTGGAGGACCTGCAGACACAGCAGCAGCAGACACTTACCGGAGCAGAAACGGCTCTGGGCCGTTCATCGCTCCGTTATTGGCACCCCTGTTTAAGATGTGGTTATGGTTCTCAAATTTTTAAAAACAAAATAGAACCCAAATGTTAAAAAAAAGAGGAAAATCCAACCTTTTATTTAAGTCCATTACTTTGGTGGTAAAAATAAAATCACACATTTAGCAAATAAAAAGCGTGAAATCATGTGTTCGACAATTATTGGCCCCCCTGATGCTAATACTTTGTACAACCCCCTTTTGCCAACAAGAAAAGCTCTTAATCTCCTCCTATAACATTTCACCAGATTGGAAAACTCAGAGAGAGGGATCTCTGACCATTCTTCTTTGTACAATCTTTCTAGATCCTCCAGAGTCCTGGGTCCTCTCTCATGCTCTCTCCTCTTTAGCCCCCCCCCCACAGGTTTTCCATTGGGTTGAGGTCTGGGGACTGAGATGGCCATGGGAGGACTTTGAGTTTGTGACTGCTGAACCTTTTTTGTGTATATTTTGGATTTTTCTCTTTTTCTTTCATTTGGGTTCTACGTTGTTTTGAGAAAAAAAAAGAGAATTTTCCTCAACCCCATCATACACAGGGGTGCCAATAATTGTGGAGGGCACTGTAAGAGTGACTCGTGAACCAAATGATTCAGGGAACTACCTGCAAATCCTTTGATCCCCAGGGGCCCCTGGACATTGTTCCCCGGCTCTCCCTTCTCCCCATGTGAGCCTCTCCTTCCTTCAGACGCAGAAAAGAGACACTAAGGACATGGAGCTGAAACAAACCGTCTCCCCGACAGATGAGGCCTCACCCTGTTCTCCTGGATAACCAGGCCTGCCAGGCTTCCCTCTGGTGCCAGTGTCCCCCTGAGTGCCTCTTCCACCGGGTGGGCCCCTGGACCCCGGTATACCTGGTTCCCCCGGGGGCCCGACGGGCTCCTCGATAGGAGCTGGTTTACGACCAATCTCGTTGATGTACATGTCGAGTTTCAGCACCTCCTCTGTAAAACCAGAGCATGTTACTGCGTCTTTATTTTTTAATTTGCTGAGAACACTGCCCCATAGGCATCCGTGCACGGTGTTTATGGTGCATGAGAACAAGCGGAGCACTCACTGTGCACTAGCTGCTCACAGGCCTGCGTCACCAGTTGATAGATCATGGCCATTGACTGAGGTTCCCCCTGTAAAAGGTCAGCAAATTCCCATTTTTTTTGCTCCAATAAAAAAACAAGTCGTCATTTGTCTGGTTCTGATCTCCTGGTAACTTTACAGGATGCTTACTGAGGACATGCCCTACCTTCTCTCCTCGCTCCCCTTTATTTCCTGGCAGGCCCTGTGTAATTACAGAGGTAGGAGCGTTAAATGGGACAGTAAACCGACCAGCTGACACCGAGTCTGAGCCTCTGGTCCTACCGTAGGTCCCATAGGTCCGGAAGGGCCCCTATCCCCGATGGGCCCGGGGTGTCCCGGCATTCCCTGGAAACCCTACAAATAAACAGCATTTTCACTGCTAATATGGATAAACAGAGACAATTAACTTTTTTTTCCTTTACTTGGTGCCAAAGATTGATCCTAAAAGAAACAGAAACAGGAAGTTTGGAGTAGAGGGTGCAATTGGATTTGGTTTGAAAGCCTCTGGGGTGTGGATATGTCTCTTGTCCAGCTCAACTGTTGATGATTAAGTACAGTTAAATGTTTTGATTATTTTTTTGTAAGTTTTGAGTCCAATTCAGTTTGATTTCAGCTTTGTAAAAATCTGTAAACTTAAATTCAAAACGTGAACGTTTGTGAACGTGTCCGGAGGAGACAATACACAAAAAAACCGCTAGGTGGCAGTAGTTCTCCATTCAGAAAACTAGATGCCTTAACTAAAAGGAAGAAAAACCTGACAACGATAAGCAGCATGAACAACAGAGGGCGCTCTTTCTTTTTTACTCTGGGCGACATGCACTTGTTGAACTTGGTCTGATGTCTGAATAAAGTTAAAGTTGGGCATTAAGGAGATGAAGAGAAAAGCTCAAGCTCTGCAGTCTAAAGGGTTCAGTCAGCTTAACGCATACTTTAGAATTAACTGGAAACCTCCACAAGACTGTGGACAGAAATCCCCAAAATACATCAGGAGTCAGTGAGATTTGTACAAGATATTTGCAAGATACTGTTGTAAATGTCTTGTGTTTTTTTTTACAGAGAACGCTGACCTGTGAGGTGAATCAGAGTAATCTTACCCGGGGTCCGGTGAGGCCGGGAGCACCGATGTTTCCCTCCACACCCCTGATGCCCTGTGAAAGACATCCCAGGGAGAGCAGTATTCAGAGCTCAGCTGGACGAGGAGCTGTCGTTCCTCACTCATATCAAACAACTCACCTTGGGTCCTGGGATCCCCTCTTCTCCTTTTGGGCCTGGGGGTCCTTGTAAACCCTAAAAGGTAAAGAGAACGAGGTCAAGCAGATAATAATTCAGTGAATGAAAGTGACTTGCATTGACTTCTAAGTCACCTGTCCTCCAGGCCGCCCAGGCTCTCCCTTTTCTCCCCTGGCTCCTGGTGGACCCTGATCAGGGCCAAATCAAAACAGGAAAAAACATTTTTCTTTTTCTAATCTAAAAGCCAAGTGACTCTACATGCAAATGCAGTGTAAGGCAGAGAGTGTAACCACCGTTTTGCCCTGCACGGTGATGCCTCGAGGCCCTACGCTGCCCACCGGGCCCAGGCCTCCCTCAAATCCAGGCCTTCCAGGTGGACCCACCTCACCCTGAGAGGGTCAACACAGGGATGTTATGAAACTGTCACTTCACAGCAAAACTGCCATCACCCCTGCTGCTGTTAAAAGAAATACAGCGCCACACCGACTGTGCATTTACTGGCCAAAGGATGTTGATTCAGGCAAAAAGGCACCGAGTCCTTAACCAGATGTCCATGAAGTTATGACAGTCTCTATAAACACTGATCCTTCTCATCTCACCTTTTGGCCTAGCTCCCCCTTCTCTCCTTTCTCACCTCGAGGACCTGGTTTCCCCTGGAAGAGAGGACAGCAAGTGAACATGGCAGTTAACTCCACGGGCCAGCTTATTCAGGACGGCCTGTCTGAGTGCTCGTGGTGGCATACGATTGGCCCGGGGGATCCCGGAGCGCCGGGAATGTCGGAGGAGCAGGTGCAGGCGGAGGCAGGTGCAGGGCAGCTCTCCTCATCTCTCTGAGACAGACACACAAATCACTTCAATTAAATTAAATTTTATATTTATATAGCGCCACGTCAAAACTACAGTTATCTCCCAGCTTTCCAAACAGAGCAGGCCAGACCGGACTCTGAAGTTATTTACAGAAGAACAACGATTCCCACCAAGAGCAAGCACTAGGCGACACAGGGAAGGAAAAACTTCCTTTTAACAGGCAGAAACCTGGAGCAGAACCATGGCTCAGGGTGGGGGGGGCATCTGCCCCGGCCGGTTGGGGGTGAGAGAAATAAGGAGAGAGAGAGGGCGAGAGAAGGACAAAGGGAGTAGAGAGAGAAAGCCTACACAGCATAGACTGGATGAAAATGGCTGCCTATAGCAGCATAATTAGGGGTGGACTTACCTTAACTATAAGCTCTATCATAAAGGATAAAGGAAAGTTTTAAGCCTACTCTCAAATATAGAGACGGCGTCTGCCTTCCGGACCCAAACTGGAACCTGGTTCCACAAAAGAGGACTCTGATAGCTGAACGCTCTGGCTCCCATTCTACTTTTCAAGACTCTAGGAACTGCAAGTAACCCTTCAATCTGGGAGCGCAGAGCTCTGGTAGAGCAGTAATCAACAGCCAAAATATGCTTTCAGTTCAGGTTTCCAACGGCTTCAAATATTGAATAAAACAATAATATTTCTAAACTAGCACACTATGAAGAAAGAGGAGTTAGGGCAGGTGGCCCGCTCACCACTCCAGGCAGGTCGCAGCAGGTGTCCTCCGAGGCCCACGTGGTGTTACAGACCATCTCAAAGGACTGCAGCTGGAACTGGACACCGTGAGAAAGATCGGAAATTTAACCACCAGCTTGGTTTCCCAGCCAACATTTGAACAAAGTCTAAACTAAAAGCAGGAGGAGAAAAAGATTAGAAATTACTGCGGCTGATCCACTGTTTGGACCTCGGGTCTTGGTAAGCTTTCCCAGCATCTCGAAGCCGTCGGTGGGCAGAATGCCAAGAGGCCGGGCGGGCCTCTCGCCCACGTGCTGACAGTCCACAGACAGGGAGACGCTCACCTGGCTCACAGACAGGTGGACCTGGCAAAGAACAAACTAATTCAACCATCAGCCTGAAGGAAAGATGCCAATCACAGTGTATCGCTTTGGTCCTTTAGTCACATCAGGCCAGGAACGATGGAGGTTTTAGATGATGAATTTGTACATTCCTCTGCAAAAGGATGAGGAGGTGGACACGATTGTTCCGTTTTCCACTAAACGACAATGAGGTTTAAATGCTGCATAGACAACGGCTCAGATACAGTGGAACCTCTACTTACGATTGCCTAAACATTCGGATTTTCCAACATACGAAGTGAAATTCGATCAAATATTCGGCTCGACACCCAAACTAAATTTCCAACATAAGATATGATGTCGAAGTCATTGAAAAACATATATAAAATATAAAATCAGATAAAAATAAATAAGCCAAGTTGCTTTAAAGTTCACATGATGAAAGTTAGAATAAGTCAGGGTACGTCCTGTATCTCAGTCTCCACCTCTACCTCCGTTTGCCAACAAAAACCTTTTATAATTTATTTCTTTTTACATCTCTCTTATATAATGCATTTGTTTTATTGCTATGTGTAATTATCTGCAGTATTTATTAAGGAGTTATCGTAGATTTTCGGGCTGTGGAACGAATAATAGGAATTATAGTGTATTTTTATGGGAATATTTGATCCAACATACAAATATTTCAAAATAGGAAATAGGTCCTGGAACGCATTAAATTCGGATGTAGTGGTTTTACTGTCTTTTCTTCCTCACCTTGTGAAAACTGCCATAGAACAGCTTGTGGACCTGCGGCTGATCAAAGGTCAGCTCCTGGACCTCTCCCCTGTAGTCCAGACTGAAGTACAGCAGGTGTTTGGTAGATGCTGTAGAAAATAAAAACAGAAATGAGTCTTCCAAACTCTTCCTCTACAAAAGCCTCAGTTGGTGCTTGGTGCCTTTCCTGAGCCATAGACCTCTACTTTCCATGAAGTTAAAAAAACACAGGTCATGTCTGACGCATGGATGCAAAAGTAACAAACAAAACCCATAAGTCCTTTATTTCTGATTTAAAGTGGTTTTATAATGTCACTGAAAATTATAGAGGCTTTTTCATATTTTCCAAGGGCAATTTGAAAAATTATTATTTTTGATATTCTTAATGGAATAGCAACAAAAAACCAGAACATCTTAAGAACACTCACGGTCAAGCACCACTCCCATCTTCGGTTGGAAATCGTTATCGGTGAGCTGCCAAAGAGCGAAGGGCTGCTTCTGAGTGTCCTGCAGCAGGCGGAAGGCAATGCTGATGGTGTGCTCTGAGGAGAAACCTGCAGGGTGAATGAACCTGGAGGGAGACAAAAAAGATCAGAACAAAGGCAAGTTGAGACACCAGCCACTATTTGGGATTTTTTTTACCTTTTTTGATTGTCTGTTTTTATTAATTTTGGCTGAAATTTTATCTTTCGCCATTATCAAAAAAAAAAAAAAGAGAGAATTTTACCTGAGCAAACTGACAAACTCAAAAGGGGGATTCAACTAATTGACTGCCAGCCATTTTCAGAACAGAGAGTCCCATACTGCCAGAGTTTTTTGAGCATTTTGACTGATTTTTCAAGAGCCACAGAGTAGTTTGTGCTATGACTATGTAAACATCAAACACACCAAAAGAAAGAGTAGACTCTCTTCTTTCATCAGGGAAAGAAATAGTTTCTACCTTATTCCGTTCTTTCTCGACTTGCGTCTCACCGGCGTCATGTTCTCTCATATCAAACCATTACCTTTTTCTTATTTGCCTACAGTCTATGCTCATCTCCCATCAAAAGTGGCATTGTTACCTAGAGGGTCAATTTGTTAGTACATACTCTGTCTAGAAGCCTGATATTTACGGACAAGCTTTAGCAGATCGTCCCCCAAGCCACTCTCGTTGAAAAACATAAAAGACGTCTATAGACGTCATTGGCAGTCAAAGGTTGTATTTGAATTGACGTCTATAGACGTCTTTGGAAGCCAATGAGGTAATAATGATGTCCCTCAGCTATTTGACTTGGCAGGGATTGTGTTTTGTGTGGCTGAAACACTGACTTTATCATGGCTGAGGACTAACTGGGCCCTCGTCCATCCACTGTGCAGATGTCAGTCAATCAATCAATCAATCAATCTATGTTTATTTAGATAGCACTTTACAACAACCGGAGCTGATCAAAGTGCTTTACAGTAATAAAAACAGATCAAACTATCAAAATATACAAAGACAAATGCATTGGTGACAGAACCCAGTTTACAGTGATTTTACGTGCAAAACGCCATTTTGAACAAATGCGTTTTAAGTTTAGCTTTGAATAGAGGCAGGTCAGTGAATGTACGTAGCTCAGTGGGCAGAGAGTTCCACAGTTTGGGTCCTGCCACTGCAAAGTGGCACACAGTGGCTGACAGCATCACATAAAGAGGCACATAAAAAAAAATAAGAAGCTCAGAGGAGGACAGATCCATGCAAAGTGTCTGACCTGGTGTTCTGGGTCAGCTGGACATCTCTGTACAGAGTGTAGGTGGGGAGGGTGTTAAAGACGAAAGGCTCCGCGGCCACGCCCTCCACCGAGGAGTGGGCCCTCCGCGTCAGGCCGAACGCCTCCATCATGTCGAACCCTTTAACGATGCTGTTTCTGATGGTGACTTCAGGACAGACTGCAACACAAGAAACACACATCACAGACATCAGGGACATGATGCCTTTTGTCTTTTGTTTGAATCTTCCGTTTAAAAAAAGCACCACATTTGGTTGATGGAATAAACATCTCCATTCAAATCAATGGAATAAAAAGGATAATTTTGCTTAACATTTAAGAGTTTAAGGTTCTATACTTGTATAAAAAGGATTTATATTTTATTACATATTTATTTACATTTGCGTTCATTTTCAATGAACGAATTTGAATATCTAAATGCAGAAAATACTCCGTAGTGCTACTTGGAGCCTTACGAAGCCAGCTGAGACAGAAATTAACCTTCGTTGTGGATCGGGTGCAGCCGGGGATGGATGGGAATTCTGGCAGGAGCTGTGGCTGTAGGAGAAAAAAGATCAAACCCATCAGCAACCACAAAAGCCTCGAGAGTTTTTTATCAAAACAATGCAAGTGTCCATGGTCACTGATGTTTCCCTGTAGCTAATGTCACAAACTTCATTTTCCAGGTAAAAACAAGAATGAATTCATATCATTATCTCAAATGCACTAATGTAAGGGGAGTCGTCTTATGTTATGAAGATAGCATTAGGTGTCTTTAGCATTTATTCTTAGCTGAATTTGCCTGTAAAATATTTCCAAATTGCCATTTTTAGCTTCAGTAGGGAATGGATAGAATATTTGAAGCCGTATCCCACAGAGAAGACACAGAGTGCCACAGAAAACCTTTAACAAAGTGCCACCGCATGCACTGTTTTTTTACCTTTATGCTAACAAATCACTCAAACTTCCTCACAGAATTCCTGTGAGCGCGACTTCTCTCCAGATCTGTGACTCCCTCTCTGCTCTGCGGGAGTTAGAGCGCTCAGAAGCGCTCAAGTGAAGCTCTGTGCAGACTTTATTGATGTGGGCTGGAAAGCCACCCACCACTCAAACAACTGACAGAGACAGAGGTCTCTGGCTGGGACTTTGCAGCCCAAAAGTCAGTTATATCCGTGTAATCTACAGCATCAAGTCATTTTTGAACAGTGTTATTGGTGGGCAGAGATGCACTTTTAACAGACCGATTCAGCTATTGCATTCTGTGTGGTTTCTCTCTGGGTGCTTATGGAATAAAACCCTCATCGGTAAACAAGTATTTTCAACACACAGACCAGGGACCGACTTTTTAATGTGGAATTTGGCTCCATCGTTTCCTCGGCTCCTTCCATTTCAAAAAGCTTTTTACAGAATGAGCAACAATAAAGCTATAAAAAGCCCTTTACGTCATTCCACTCCACAGGGTAAATTCCATTAGAACAAGAGGTATTGTAAACGATGGCTAATTAATGTTCGATATCTGATCAAACCTGTTGGATGGAGGATGGAGACGGCGGCGGCCTCCACTGAGCCGAGTAACGAGTGCACGCTTATGCGATACAGAGTCTCAGGCTCCAGGTCCGAGAAGCAGTGGCTGCTGCTGGACTCGTCCACCACTTCCTGCTTCGCCTGCTTGTCTACGTGCACGCACACACACACACACACACACACACACACACACACACACACACACAC